GAAATAGTCGAGAAGTCATGTGAGAGTGCCTCCGTAGCACTATGATTGGCTTATTACTCGATGCAGTAATGCCCACCTATCATGTTTGCAACTGGTTTGTAAATCAGCCTGAATGGGTCATACTGTTTTGTAGTTGTAGTTTATTATACATTTAGTTTTGGTTGCTTGTTGTTAAAGGGGTCATATGATGCTTTTTTAAAGATCATTATTTGGTGTATTTGGTGTAACAGAATATGTTGACATGCTTTAATGTTCAAAAAACACATTATTTTTCAAATACTGTACATTATTGTAGGTCCTATATGCCCCGCCTCTCTCAAACGCTTCGTTTTCTACAAAGTCCCTCCTTCCGACAAGCGCAGTCTGCTCTGATTGGCCAGCTGACCCAGTGCATTGTGATTGGCCGAACACCGCAAGTACTCGTCGGAAATGTAACGCCCCTTACCATAATTGCGAGCTTCATCTTTCAAAATAAATGTAAAGACAGTAAATAATGTCATTAGTTTTACCATCAGTTCAAGCCCGAAAGGGGAACCGAGTCGCGTGACAGACAGTAATGATGCAGAACACAAGCCGCGGTTAAGACAGCTGACTCTACTGTGATGTGACGTGTGTCTATAAATGCTTTTTTGCACAAGGTCATATGAGTGTGTGTGTGTGTGTGTCTGAGAAAAAATATGCTCTGTGACTCTTGGCCCTGAAACACAAACATATCAGAGGCCACCCTCTGCCCCGATAATCCTTTCGGATAGAGGTGATACACACACACTAAAGAGAGGTAATTAATAGTGCCACAGAGCAGCTCTTATGCACAGAGGATCGGATGAAGGAGGGGTCGCTCTGTCGTCTTTTTTTTTGTTCCCCCTGTCAGTCTTCCTCCCTTTTCCACGACGTTCGAGCACGAGTGTGATAACAGGAGCTCAAGGTCAGGGAGGGGGGCACAGCGTATGTGCGATGGAGGGAGGGTCTTCTAACACACCAATTTGCATGAGATATCAGCAAGAATGAAAAAGTGCAGAAAAAGAAAAATAGATGGATAGATGGGGGAAGGTACAGTAGAGATGAGGAAAGAGACAGAGGTTAAAGGACAAAGTGACGAATGAACCACAGAAAGATTCTGAGGTAGTAAGAAGAAAGGAGCATTAGAAATACAGAAGGAGAAAGGGAAGTTTTGGAAATAAATGGAGGCCAAATGAAGAAATTTTACGTTTTCTGAGGAAAATATGAGTGCTACAGTTGTTACGTTATGTGATTGCTATAGTAAGTGGTTGTCAGTGGTTTTTAGCACATTGATGTGTAGTTGTTAGTGGGACTGGGAATGGAGAACCGGATCTTCTCTTAACTGTTTTTAAGTGTCTGCATTCTTCCACAGATGTGGATGGAACATCATACTAAAATACTTAGACAGCATGTCCTGAGTCTGCAGGAAAAATCAGTTTTAGCTTAGTTGTAAATTCAGTCTGAATTGATAATGATAGGAGAGAAGCTGCAAAATAATACAAACAATTAATCTTTTGAGTCAAAAGCCAAAAGATCAGTATGATCCAGACCAAACCAGTATGGTCTAGGTTGCAAACAAATGACTCGTATGAGCGGTTTCATTTTAATGAATCAGTTGTAAAGACTCTGGATTTCATCAGAGATCTGTTTGAACCAGTCTAACAACAGTGATTCACTCACTGAATCATTAGGAGATGATTGTGACTCTCTGAACCACAAGTCATAAATTTTGTCTTGTATAACGCAAAATTATAGTGAACTGTATACTATTATGTTTGCTTAAGGACTAATTATCGATTCTAATTTTTAAATATTATTTATTTTATTTTATTAAATTTTTTTAAGGTGGCCTTAACTATTATATACTTACGTTTTAATAAATCTGTTGATACAGTGCACTTATTTTGTACATGCATGTTTTTACATTGTACTTATATTTTAAAAATACCTGCATGTAATTACATTTGTAATTCATTTCTGTAATTACATTTAGAATTACACTGTTGACCAATCTCTTACAACTGAACCCACTCTTAAACCTACCCATACCACCAAACCTGTCCCTAACCATACCCATATCCCACCTCATTAGCAGCAAAAGTGTTTTGCAATACAACATGAACACAATAAGTACATTGTACTTATTTTTTGATGTAAGTACATAGTAGATAAGTAGATAAGGCCACCTAATATAAAGTGGGACCATAAATTCTCATCCCAAGTTACTAGGTGGTTTCTTGGGTGGTTTGTAGATTCTAGCTTAGTCGCCCAAGTCGAAAGAGCATACAAGTTTCTCTATGATATTCAAGTTCTTAGATATGACTTAGATCCCTCCTTCAGTGTGTATGGGATTTTTTCACTCATTTTAGCGTCCACCAGGCAATCACTTGGAAAAGTAACGGCATATCTCTCCTCAACAAGCTGAATGATTTGGTGTCACTTGTGTCCATAGCACAAGTTGCACTGAAGTTCAATACACTTGTTCAAATCCGTAACCTCTGTATTAACTTGATTATCAAGTATCACTAATAAACGACAGTGGATGGCAAACCTTGCATTGAGTTTGGGGGGCTAGAAAGAGTGAGTGACTGACGGAGAGAGAGAAGGGTGGGCGTCTGGGGGGTAACTGGTGGTGTCTTTGTGATGGAGATGGAGCAGTCGCCAGTGCTGAGCTGATAATGACCAACGGTTCTAATAGCATTCACCCCTCCACCCTTTAACCACTCAAGCGGAAAACGGACAGAAAGAAAGAGAGAGAGTGTGTGGAACGGAGGAAAATATGTTTAAAATATGACGTGGTGGGACCGCGTGTGTCCCGGCTTATTGAAAACGCACGTATATGAGTGTGTGTATGTCTCGACGCCCCCTTGAGGACACATTAAAAGACAATATGTGTGTAGTTTTCGGCCACGCACACACACGCACGCAAACACGCTCGCACCAGTCGGCTTACCCTCTTTATCGTGCTGTATTTACGGAGGGCGATGGAGCGTGAAACGCCTTTGGGCTCCCCGGGACCAGATGGAGAAACACACACACACATACACGCACTCCAAAGGCAGCCTTATCACCATCGCATTACTGGGATTTATTGATACCCTCTGTAATCACTCCCTTATATCACCTCAAAGAAAAGAAAAATATACAGATTATATGAATGTCTGTGAGAAAGAGTGGGAGGAGGAGACAGAGTGGATGATGGGAGAAAGAGAGTGTGAATGGGGGTCATCATTCACTAGTGAGATGGGAAATGTAAGTGAGGTTTATAATAACAGAACGGAGTGAAAGGAATTGAGTGAAGTCGAGGAAAATAACGCAGGTAGTCGGCAGACATACGCGCACACAAAGGGCACAGCTGAGGAACCGAGGTGCTTTCACACACTTGACATAAGCGGAGTTGTATTTTTGTGGTGTTTAGAGAGTGTTCTGGTACTGGTTGCGCCCGGATTCATGTCACCCTAATTGGAGGTTTCTTGACCTTACTGCTTTAACTTGTCACACAGTAGATGCTTCTGCTACAATTGGACATATCCACCTTTACTGTTACGAGTACAGCCTGCTACAAGATGTTTAGTAGATTGTCAAAGCTGCTCTTTTTTTGCACTATAAAAGTGGACCAGGGACTGTCAAAAACTGACAAAAATGCACATTAAAGACGCATGATAATAGTCCATTGTTGAAAAAGAGCAGCAGCAACATTCTGTTAAAATTCTCCTTTTGTGGTCCACAGAAGATAAAAACTTGTATGGTTATGCAATGCAGAAGTGTGAGTAGAGTCAAACCAAAAATTATTCAGACACCAGATATCATTTTTGATATCTTTTTACTAGTGGGTTCAGGACACTATAGTTCATTTATGTAAGTGAGGATAGCAAAATAAAGTAAACTGTGACATATTATACCCAAAAATTCTTCATACAGTGGACTACCAGTAAAATTTATAAAAATTTGGGACCAAAAATTATTCAGACACTTTGACCTGACCATGTTTTGCTTAAGTTTTTTTCTTTAATTGCTAATGCAAACATTTGTACACCCCAGACTGAACAAAATTAAGCAATGCTTGGTAATTGGTTGACCTAAATTGGTATTATCTAATTGTGTACTCAAATTTAACAGCTGACAGCTATTCAACCTAATTCATTACCTTTCTATCAAAGTTATCTGACATTATCAAGATGAATTTGTTCTGACACAGTTTAAATCTGAGTTCTTGTTATATTTTATTGCCACTTTCTACACTATAGTGAATAAACTGTGATAATGTGAGAAATGTTGAAGGTGTCTGAATAAATTTTGGTTCGACTGTAAATAATGACAGAATGGACATTTTTAGGGCAATTATCCCTTTGAATGAATGATTCTCAGCTAGGGGGCCAGGGCCCACTAGGGCTCCTCAATCTTTCAAGCGGGCCTCAAGATGATTTAAATGAACAATCTTTTTAAATCTATCCCCTGTTTTCTTTGAATAAAATATACAAGGTAACCTATTAAAAATGTGATTGTTCTTAAAGTTGTATTAAAGTTGTAATGAGCATATATTTTATAATTATGCCAGTCTGTAAAACATTTTATTGGGTTGAAATTGTGTCAAATAGTTTTAAAAAAATGTTCTTTAAGTCGCAAACTACCGAAAAAATCATGTAAATTCATTGCTTAAAAAAAATTTGGAGACCCGAAGAACATTCAGCTCCTAAAATGTCTGTAATCCTGAAAATTAAAATCCTTTTTCTTTTACTTTTTTTTTTAATTTAAGGAAATCAAGCACACCTGTAGATTCAAATAAGTTTTCAAAACATAAATAGGGCTAGGGGGCCTTAAAATATCAGTGTTAATGAAGGAACTGTTTCACTATTTTTCTTTTTACAGAATTTAAATATAAGATTTTATATTGCTGTATTTCTGTTCTTAAAGGAGGCAGACAGACTTTGCCATGTTAGTAGTGTAGAAGTTGGTAATCAGTCTCCTTTCTAAATCCATGTCTTTTTGTTTCTTTGTAGACCACTAATGGACCCCTCTGCAAAGCCAGTGATCCAGAGGCCTGCAGGAAACCTGCCTACTGTTACAACTGCTCTAAGAAAGGACACTTCGGCCATGTAAGTGGATCAGCCTCGTCCAAAGGTGTCACATAGCTGGTTGCTTTCCACAATGGATAACAACCGCAACAACGAAACAGAAAAATATTTTCAATACCACATTTCCACACACACACTAAAAAAATAAGAATCCCTCTTTGACCTCTATGTTGATCCTTGTCACTTCAAACAAAACAAATTGTACGAAATTAGGAAACTCAGAAACACTTCAGTCAGATTTTTCACAAATCTTATTCTCAGTGTACAAATCTTTTTGCCATTATTTTATATTCATGCACAACACTGTAAATGAAGCACAGCTATATACACTACCATTCAGAAGGTTTGAATTTTTTTTTACATATTTTGGTATACTTATATTCAGCAAGGATGCTTGAAGTTCTTTAAAAGTGACAGTAAAGAATTTTACATTGTTACAAAGAAAACTATTTAAAAACAACTGCTGTTCGTTTGAGCTATCTATTTATCAAAAACCAATTGAAAAAAATCTCAGTTTCCACAAAAATATTAAGCAGTACAACCATATTCAGCATTTTAGAATGATTTCTGAAGTATCATTGAACTGGAGGAATGACTGCTGAAAATTTAGCTTCGACATTACAGGAATATATTCAGGGTTCCCACGCTTCTTGAAAGTACTTGAATATCAGACGCATGGATTCAAGGCCTGGAAAGTACTTGAAAACAAATATAAGTCCATGAAAGTGCTTGAATTAAATTTGAAATAAATTTTGTTTAGTAGAATGGTGCTATTTCAAAACTTGTCCTATATGCGCTGTCAAAGACAAAACCAAACTGCGCTAATGATTGGGGGTTGAGATAGGGTAGCGTGAGAAAAAAACTTATCGTGTGAGCTGATGCGCAGCCCTGCATGAACCTATGGAGAAGCAGTGCATTTGCGAATGAAAATTACTGCGTGCAACTTTGAAAAAAAATATTTAGGAGCACCAGTGCGACTGACCCGATCAGCATATTTGTGTTTGCGCTCAGGGGAGCTTCAAAGGTTTCTGACTTATTTACAATGTGTTTTTGCTGCGTTGAGTAATGTATCACAGACAAATCTGTTGATTCCTTGAACACAATGTTAATCAGAATCCACTCACTGCTCAAACACCTGAGTTTTGTTCAGTGCTGAGTTCTGCAATCTCACGAATCCTCTCATTATTGCAAACAAAGTGTTGACAGGGTGTAAATAAGAGATTCATTGTGCAGTGTAGGGAGCTTCGTCGATTATAATGGAACTTTGTGAGATCGCGATGAGTGAGTGACAGCTTTTAATGATTATTAAGGGAGTTTGCAAATGTGATATTGATTTAATACAACAGTTCATTAAACAAGAAATTAATATTAAGTGACTTGCATTGTCTGACTACAACACTATTGCCTGAGTTTGCTCTATTTCATCAACGAAAATAGTTTCAAACAAAGTTACAGCTGAGCTGCTGGGCATTTCCAAGCAAACACAGTGGTGTTTTGTTTATGAATGAACGTGCGTTTTTAAACAAATCTTACCAGTGTGAACTCCATTGACTTCAATGGATTTAATTAAATTCTGCTCAAAGTGGTCTAAATTTATGAAACCTACACTTTCAAAACCTCATTACTCTGACATTTTTAATGTAAATGTTAAGTGTAAGTGAAATGTTAAGTACTGTAAGAGGTCTTTCATGATGCTACATATGCTGGGGTGTGAATTTGATAGGTGCTTGAAATTAAATAAATAGTGCTTTAAAAAGTCCTTGAATCTGGTGTTCATGAAAGAGTGGGAACCCTGGCATACACTCTATGCAGAGAGCTTGTGTATAGTATCTGGTTTTTATTAATTTTTTTGTAAACAACACCATTGTCACCATTGTAGATTCACCCCACACTGCATGAACAGAGAGATGTAGCATATCTCACAAATGGGTATTATTAATAGTATCATACCCATACGAGAGACGTTTTACTTTCATTTTTAAAGGATCTTTTCTGTTATTTAATTCGTTTAATATTTCTATATTCAAAATTTTATATTTAAAATATTAACCTCAGCATGAATTTATGAATTTAATTCCACTCATGCCACCTCGGAGCTTCATTAAACATCTGAAAATACACCTACAAGCCACTTTTGTGTTCTTCTGTGCCACCTCTGTGGTACAAATAATTTTTTTTAATACTGGTTTTATTTGATTGGTAACTTTATTCTTATTCTACTTGATTTTATTCTGTTGTTTTAATTAGACATTTTAAAAAGCTTATAAATATAATTGCTCATTACTCTGACATTTTTAATGTAAATGTTAAGTGTAAGTGAAATGTTAAGTACTGTAAGAGGTCTTTCATGATGCTACATATGCTGGGGTGTGAATTTGATAGGTGCTTGAAATTAAATAAATAGTGCTTTAAAAAGTCCTTGAATCTGGTGTTCATGAAAGAGTGGGAACCCTGATATTACATTTTAAATATAAGCATTAAAATGGAAAATAATTAATAACTTTTCACAATATTACAGTTTTTAATGTATTTTGGGTCAAATATATGCAGCTTTGGTGGACATAAAAGAGATTGTGAAAGACAGATGTGCCTTCACTGATGTCCATGATTTGAGATGTTAAAGTGTGTGTTTTCTGCAGGAATGCACCGAGAAGAGAATGTATAATGGGACATATCCCACCCTGCCATTTATTTCCCGTTACGACACAAAGAATGACATCCATTACCGGGAAATTCGAGTTAAAAAGCAGGCCAGAGGTTTGTTAGACTGTTTCTGACAAGTTGTATTGATAAAAGCTGATCATACTAGAAACCTAAAGATTTAATGACACGTGTCTCTTTCAGAACTTAAGCAAGCCGGATTGATTTCACCTGACAGAGCTGTCATTACAAATACCCCCCAACCGCCCAGGAAGAAACAAAAAACCAGCCACAAACAGTCTCCATACCCATACAACACTCACACCAACAACCAGAACACGCCGAAGAGACGCATCGCGCACACACCCAGACACACATACTTCAACGTCAAGCAGAACTCAGAAACGCCAGGAAACCACGGCAAACACACCCCTAAGAGCAAGTTGAAACCGCAAGAGCAAAGCCAGAATGAAGCCAAAAAGAAGAAAAAGAAAACACAATCTGAAATTGTTTTAGATGAAGATGCAGACATTCCTAGAGGTTACAAAAAGAGCCCTCACAAGACCAGAGACGTTTCATCACCACGGAAAGCCAATGTGAAGCCGAATAAGCCTTTTGGAATGGAAAAGAACAATAAAAAGGACAAACTATCGAAAAAGAAGGAGAGGAAGTGGCAAAAGAGAGAACGAAAAGCTGCAAAAGATTCTTCCATGTATCCTTCCGATGAAAACCTTTTTCAGATTAAGCAAAGAAAGGTATGAAGATGTATTTAAAAAAGGCAAATTGTGTGAATGGGACGTCAAGTGATTTAAATGATTCACCCTCTACTGTTGGTTGCTTTTGGTCCATCTTCTTCTTTGTATACAGTATTACTAGTTTTTAGGTTGTTCTTGGAAGAAAAATTCTACGCAAATCAGACCCTCTCACCCAAATACAGTTAATTTCTCAGTGCTTGGCTGTAATGTAATGTTTGACATTAAAAAGTGCATAATTTTGGGAAAGATTTCATGTTTATCAAATTCGGGTATTTTAAAAGCAGGTGTCCAGCTTGTTACATGACAAGTGTATAGAGTTTTCTATTTTGTGTACATGCTGACTTCTGTAACATTGTGATTAAATTAAAGTCTGTTTGTATTGATATCCTGTTTGAGATCTTTTGTGTTAATCTTTTTTTTTATGAATATTCAGCTTTATTTTAAGGTAAAATATGTAAAATCCCAGCTTTATATGCAATGAAAACTGATAGGATGCTTTTGTAAAAATCATGAACACTGTCTTTGTGGTACCATAACAGCATTCCTCTGTTTATTTTAGCATCCCTCCAGCACAACCAATGGCATGACGTTGGGGGCGGGGCTATCAGTTTGGCCAACCAATGGCTGATGTGGGAGTGGAAACCAGTTTAAAAAGTATTAGGTTTGCAATTTTTTTTTTTTTTTTTAAATGAATTACAGAAATTCTGTGCTTGTCTCTTTACGTTTTCCAGACAGGATGTGCATTAATATTACTTTGATACTTTATGAGAGAGTCATTCAATCATTTGCAACACTGATTCATTCAGAAATGAAACTCCACTACAGTCTTTTGCTCGGAGATGCTGCTTTGGCTTTGTTTAGAACTAATTTTGTGGTGTATCAAAATAGATATTAAGATTATATGAGCTTCTTTTTTACTGAACTCGCAACCATGCTCTTGATTTCATTTCTATTAAAAAGCTGTCTGTTGAACTAAAATCTCACTTTCAGACAAAAAGATGTGCTCCACCTTTCTCCTCTTTCCTGTGATTATCTTCTTGAGCTCCAGGTGTTGTGTTTAGGGCTGTTCAGCTTTAAAGTAATGACAGACAGCAAACAGCTGGTTAAGTGGTTAAACCGTTGCCATTTCCTTCGTTGCCCTATTTTTCACTTTTTAAGATCCCACATTCCTTCTCTTTATTCCATACAAGATCTCTTTTTGCTTTCATGGGTTGTGTTTTTGCTAAGAACAATATTTCAGCTCTAAAAGAGTCCAGATTTGTTCAATTGTTCTGTGAGTGCGTGTAATGTTGTTCTGCTCCGCAGGGCCGTGTGTGTGTGTGTGTGGACATTTATGTGAAAATGTGTGCCATCAGGCTTTTATTGCCTGAAACGTTTTTTTTTTTCAACAGTATAAGAGATGATTTCTTAAGCCAAATATAAATCCAACACCAAACATGGCAGTCCAGCCCACATGCAGAAAGAAAAATCAGATTTTTTCCCCTCAAGATTTGCAGACAGTATGTAAACTCAAGGGTCCCCAGGCTTGGCTGAGATGTGTAAGAGAGATACAGTACGATGTGAGGGAAGGAACATGCCACTGAGTCACACACGATCACTCACACTGATTTACTCTGACTAATTCCTTAGAAGTGATTAATCAGGCTTTTTACTGGTATAGTTGGCCACAACACATTCCCAGCACTTTGACTCAACATGCAGTCCTCAGAACATTGACAGTCATCCTCTTAAGTGTAATTAGTGAACCATACTCATCACAATTTCACTTTCAAGGACAGTATTTGCCTGTAAAATCTGTTTTAGGTCAAGCTAGTAAGTACTCTTTCTAGTTTCTAAATTTGCCTGCAGGTCTGAATCTTGCCTCCACCACTGTGGTCCATTTCTGTATGTGACATGTCTTTTTCATTAGTCCAGTTCCCAGTGCAGCCCAACTAGGGCTTAATAAAATCTATATATAAATGGGCACAGGCTAAAAAAGCATATAAATATATCTACGAATATAGCTTTAAAACCATGAAAGTAATAAAATAATGAAAAATGGGAAGAGTTTGTGGTTACAATAGATGTTCAGAGGTTTTTTTTTATAGTATTTTTTATGGTCCCTGCATATGTGCTGATTGCTTGCCAGAAAATGTCATTCAGTGCTTAGCATGGCCAAGTTTATGGAAACCATGACAGAGAAGGAGTATGATTTAAAAAACAACAACAACAACAACAACAACAACTTTTGGTTTGAACTGAAAATGTAATTGAGATCCCCAAACATTTCTATAGCAGTGTTGTTTTAGTAATTATGTATTATTATAGTATTCATTAATATTTTGAATGAGCTTTTATTATTTAATCATTTTTGTTTTAGTAATTTTTAGCCATTTTTATTAGTTTTTTTATAGATTTTTAAATTAATATATTTAATTTTCATTTTAGTAATTTTAGCATCTAATTTATCATCTAATATTTTATTTTATTTCAGTTCCCCCAAAAAAGAAAAAGTTTTAGTTAACATTAGCAACACTGTTCTGTAGTTTGGCCTGAAATCACAAATTATCAATTATAGATGCTGTTCATAATTATTATTTTAAACTCAGTCCCCTCAAAACATCTGACAGATAATCAATTCATACAATAAAGTAAACAAACAGTCACCTACCTTTTTGTGTTGCAAGTTAAATAAAAAATGTAACTGCACACTGTTTATTAGTTACCAACATTTTGGCAAAACAAGTATAGCTTTTGTCAAGGTATGATATAATCAATTCATTGTACAATAAAAAATATAATATAATATGCTGATGACATCCTGATGGCTGAGATGATGATAAATTCTTCTGTTTTATAGAACGTTATATGTGTTTGTTGCTCAGTTGTCTCGAGTGAGACATAAATGTGGCATAAATTGAACTGATTCATTTTCAGCATCCTTGAAATGGAAGAAATGCTGGTAGTACGAAGCCTTTATTGCATCAGTCTTAAATCACATTGGTCATGTCAAACTTTTATGTTTTCACTGCCTAGTAAAGAAATACATAAAAAAATAAGGTCTGGGTTTTTAACGCACCCAAGTGAACTGAGACTTTTAGTGATCTGCACAGCATGAAGTTGTATTTGTTGGGATTCTTTTTTTGTCAGCTTGTGTCTGCACAAGTTCTTTGACCTATGATGTACTAATGACCACAACATATAATTTTCTCTGGTGTTATTTAACCACTAGAAACAATTTTCTTGGTGCCTATAGCACATACACTTGAAAAGAGAAGCTGAACTTGCAGTTCTTTGCCATTTTGCTGCTATGGCTATACATTTAAAGGAATAGTTCACTCAAAAATGAAAATTTGCTGAAAATGTATTTAGCCTCATGCCATTCAAGATGTAGATTTTGTTTGTTTGTACATCGGAACAGATCAAATGTATTACATCACTTCACCAAAGGATCCTCTGCAGTGAATGGGTGCAAATGAGAGCTCACACAAAGCAACGGTTTGAAGTTAAAATTGTCTTGATGGATTTGTTTATTAGAAAATTGCAGCTTTTTTGCTTCGTAAGACGTTAATTGATGTACTGGAGTCATGTGGATTACTGTGATGTTCTTATCAGCTGTTTGAACTCTCATTCTGACGGCACCCATTCACTGCAGAGGAACCATCGGTGAGCTGCTAAATTTCTCCAAATCTGTTGATTTGATTAAGAAACAAACTCATCTAATGTACATCTTGGATGGTCAAAGGGTGGGTAAATCTTCATCACATTTTTATCTTTAGGTGAACAATTCCTTTACAAATCTCAGTTAGTAGGTTTTCTAGATATTTTTTCCTACTGTATCACAAATACTGTATATTCCAACTTCCTTCTACTATTTGACACTGCATTTTGCATAGGGAATATTTGTACAGTAGGAGAGAGACAGGAGTTACAGGGTTCCCACAGCCATGGAAAACCTGAAAATAACATATTTATCGTCTGTCTGTTCATGGTCTTATTGAAGATATTTGCACACTAATTTGTACTCTAGTATAATTCATTTTAATCTGTCTAAAAAGTAATGAAAATTTGTTTTTATGAACTCTGGTGTCCCACTGCTAATGTTGTAACACAGGCTGTGATCTCTGTTGACAATCCTGTATTTGTATTTTGCAATTGCATCCTCTCACCAGTGTCATTCCACCTTTAGTACTTTAGCAAAAAGATTTTGGGTTGTTTGATTTAGTACACTTAGGAGACGTCCACCGCTATTATGTTATTTACTGTCCATACTAATCCACAGCGGGCATGCAGAATGCAGGGCTCAGAGCTGTTATTAAGTATGCTTAGTACTGACATTCCTCTCCAAATCCCCATACTTTTGAATGAGTCTCTGTCGAGTTTCTAGCTATCTGTTTCTGTCTTAAAAACGGTTTACGAAGACTGTCAGGGCCTTGTCTGCATTTAACGTGACTCAGATATTTCCTCCAAGCAGTCACGGAATAGATTACTGTTTATTTACCATCCAGAAGGATGAGCAAATATGACTAGTGACCATGTACCACACTATCCGCACGCATACACACGAACGGATACATGTCATCTAAATCACTGCTCTGCAACAGGTGTGTAGTCAACAGTGTGCGGATTGGGAATGTGTCCATTTTATGCTTGTAAATCAGAGCAAAGCCCCGCTATACCGCTTCTTCCTCCTCAACCAGTGCTTCATACTGTAGTTTCCAAGCAAAAATTTATTTTCAGAGAGTGCTCTCGTTGCAGAACACAACAAACAATGTCAGTGGTGGTCACTCAGTCTAAGCATATTTAATAAAAATGGGACTGAATTAATTTCACTGCCAGTAAGTGAAGTTTTTAACTTAATAGTGCTCACTATGATTATATATATATATAGATTATATGAATGTTTTACTTTAAAGTAGATTTTAAATCGTTATGTTTAACGTTTTGGCATGCTTTAAAGACGTACACTTATTTTGATGTGTTGACTATAGTAAAGTACATGTTAAAGGCAGTGTAGGTGATTTGGTTCAAAAACATTTTTTGTTATGCTGGTTGAAAGTCTCTTCATATCCGATAGCAATCACTAAGTTAAGTGGTCTAAATTTATTTATTTGTATTTATATCATCAGTGGAAGGCGTAGGACCATAAAATGTTCGTCCAATCAAAATGTTCAGTCCGAATATTACAATAGGCTGTCGTGCCTGTCTGTCAAATACATATTTGCATGCCTCTACGCACCCTATTTGCGCAGACATGATACATCATCTGCGAGTTCTAGTGAGAATGAAATGCACTATTATTGTTATATTATGTACTTTGTTTTTTCAGCGGTGAATGAGACATGAGGTAATCTGACAGCATTGCTTTCAATTCTCCACCAAGTCCGTCTCTCATCGTATCGCAGGTTAGTCTCCGGTCTGCCTGAGTGCGTTCATGTGTTTTGGAGGAGGCGTGGCTTTGCAGAGTGATTACGCAGGGAAGGTGAGGATCTTGCTTTCAAAGCTTACTTGCTATCGCCAGCCTTTCCAAAATCGTCTTCCCTGCCTTTAAGTTGGCTACTTGATTATAATTGTGAATGTGGAGCCCCCTACATTTAAAGGGTTAGTTCACCCAAAAATGAAAATTGGCCCACAAATTACTCACCCTCAAGTCATCCTAGGTGTATATGACTTT